GTCTTAGTCCGTCTGTTCTCGTCTTTTTCGATTCCTCTAAAATGAAGTTAACTCCCTTGACTCATTGATTTAGATTAGGTATGGAAAACTAAAGAAAGTACTGCATGGTAAAACAATAGAAAGGTTATATTTAGTGCAACAAAATCTTCAGAGCTTGGATTCAATATTTTCTTCTCAGTCGTAGTTTGAATCGTGTATTTCGATTTGATACATAACATGGTATAATCATTATGTATCATGTATGTTATAACCAATAACCATGTATAATTGTGGCTATTCTTTGTTCTTCAATTTTTGTGTCGAAGCTACATTTGTGAAATACACAAGGTTATTTCCAAATCATGTTACAAAAATATGAAAAAACTATTATAAGTATAACATAATTATCTTGAACCAAATTCATCTGAATAACAAACTAAAACTGTAACGAATCGTGAATCAAATTCATCTGAATAACAAACTAAACCTGTAACGAATCGGGAATCAAATTCATCTGAATAACAAACTAAACCTGTAACGAATCGTGAATCAAATTCATCTGAATAACAAACTAAAACTGTAACGAATCGTGAATCAAATTCATCTGAATAACAAACTAAACCTGTAACGAATCGTGAATCAAATTCATCTGAATAACAAACTAAACCTGTAACGAATCGTGAATCAAATTCATCTGAATAACAAACTAAAACTGTAACGAATCGTGAATCAAATTCATCTGAATAACAAACTAAACCTGTAACGAATCGTGAATCAAATTCATCTGAATAACAAACTAAAACTGTAACGAATCGTGAATCAAATTCATCTGAATAACAAACTAAACCTGTAACGAATCGTGAATCAAATTCATCTGAATAACAAACTAAAACTGTAACGAATCGTGAATCAAATTCATCTGAATAACAAACTAAAACTGTAACGAATCGTGAATCAAATTCATCTGAATAACAAACTAAAACTGTAACGAATCAGACAAGGTAACATACACCCACTACCAGCTGTCATAAATAATAGCAAGTCTTTAGTGGCTTAATAATGAATGTTCAAATTATCAAAAGTCAAGACAATACCTCAAAAACAGTTCATCAAGGTCTCATCCGCACGCACACAGTGGCAATAACTCTAAGACCGTTCATCTGATTATTACCAATTTCGAAATCGACTGAGATTTCATCAATATCAAATTTCATCAAGATCGAATAAAAAACTTTCCTACAAGCCAAACTTTGACCCGTTTTTAATATGACAAGGGCAAAAACTCTAAAACCTCTAAGACCTCATCAATATATACATGCATACCAATTTCCATCCATATCA